CACACACACACACACACACACACACACATATATATATATATATAAGTTTTTTTTTACAACCCCCGGTATGCCCAAATATGGGAGGAAGATTACTACTTCCATTCTCTGTTTTTCGGCTCGTCACAAGAGACCATCCAGGCAGAAACCCAATATTTTTACTGTTGCCTTTTTGTTACATTTTTGTTGTATTTGTGCTTTATTTATTTATCAGCACAAATACAACAAGTATGTATGTATGTATGTATGTATGTATGTATGTATGTATGTATGTATGTATATGCTTTACACAATCCAGTCTATGTTTTATTGGTGTAGCAACATTGGAACCTGAGCTGATCCAAATTTCCTTGTTCAGCTTACTGTAATGTGGAGCCTATAGACAGAAATCTTAGCCTCAGAGGGCATGTGCAATAATGTAGCATTTTTGGGTCAATACCGAAAATCAGTATACTTCCTTCTAGGGAACGGGGTTTTATTGCATCACCACTGTTAACCTTTAACATCCTCCTTTTGGTAGAGTTCCTACCGCTCCTTGCTAGCTCTATCTAGTATTTACCATAGCTCGTATAAAAATGACTGTTGTAAGATTTTCAGATAGGGCAGACTAGAACAATACCGTGAAAATAAGAGTATTTCTGACTCAAAACATAATGGATACGCTAAGTTTCAATGAAAGTATTTCTGTGCAGTACTTAAATTGGATCTATTTTGGATAATCATTCTTTTGTAATGCTTTTAAACTTACTAAATCTAAGAATTTTGAGTAAAGCGTCTGCTTCAGAGGCAGTATTCGCAACCTGATTTAGGACTCTGATTCATTACTGGTAGCCCTCGATTTATGACTACAATTGAGATCAAAATTTCCATTGCTAAGCAAGGAGGCTTTTAAGTGAGTTGTGCCCAATTTTAAAGCCTTTTTTTGCCAGGTTTTTAAGCGAATCACTGCAATTGTTAAGTGAATCACACAGTTGTTAAGCAAACCCAACTTTCCCCATTGATTTTGCTTGTCAAAAGCCATCTGGGAAAGTTGCAAATGGAAAACACATGATCCCAGGATTATGTAAACATCATAAATATACATATGTGGGTTGCCAAGTGCTCAAATTTTGATTATATGACTGTGGATTTATGACACTTGTAAGTGCAAGGACAGTCGTAATAGACTTTTTAGAGCACCATTGTAACTTCAAACATTCATTAAATGAGTGGTTGTAAGTTGAGCATTACCTATAATAGGAATAGCATAATCTGCCATCAGGAACCTCTCTAATATATAAGCCACCTGGGATATCTATGTGGTGTCTTACAAAAATAATTAATTGATGGGTTTGTTCTTTTCACTGCAGACAATTCCTCAGATAACGACTCTGTCTTGGTATACTACGTTGGTTCCGTTACTCCTCGTCTTGGGTATCACTGCAGTTAAAGATCTAGTGGACGATATTGTAAGAATTTTTCTCTTTTTGCTTTTCACTTTTTTTAAAAAAAACCTATTAAGTGTGATAGAAGATTTCCAAGAGGGCAACAGGCAAAGGAAAAACAGAGCAGACTTCTGGGCTCCCTAAATTAAAGAAAGGAAAGGCATGACTTTGCTTCTCAAAAGAGCCAGTTTGGTTGTAGTGGTTAAACTGGTTGCTGCGTGGCACTCGGCAGCATTGACTCTGGTTGCTGCGTGGCACTCGGCAGCAT